AAATGTGTTTTTATTCCTTTATTTTTATTCATTTTATGTATTTTTAAAATATATAAAAAAAAATTTTACCATTTTTGTGAGCGTTGCAGCAGCTTGATGGAGAGTTTATTCCGTCTGTAGCGAAACGCTGATGAAACATCAAAGTGATTATTATTCTGATGAGATAAAAATCTAAATGTTCTTCTCCTGAATCTTGAGTCGGTGAATTTTCCTCTTTAAGGTTTATTTCCAGGATTAAACCAGATTCAGACAGTTTGGTCCTGAAATGGTTCGGTTTGCAGAGTCTCCGCTCTGCAGGTTTTCTGACCGAGCAGAAAACTGTCAGATTGTTCAGGAGCGTCAGGAAAATGTGCTCAGGATGTTGAGCCAGATTTTGTGTTGCGTCCCCCTCAGGCCGCGCGGTGGCGGCGGGCCCGGAGGCCCCCGGAAGCAGAAGGAGCTGCCCACAGAGCCCCCGTTCACAGCGTACGTGGGAAACCTGCCTTTCAACACGGTGCAGGGCGACATCGACGCCATCTTCAAAGAGCTCAACATCCGCAGCGTGCGATTGGTCAGAGACAAAGAGACAGACAAGTTCAAAGGTGAGCGGATGTTATTGTTTTGTTCTGGTCGGAGCAATGAAGGAAAGTTTATTTTTACAGCACCAAAACTCAAACATCCGTCAAGTTCATCAGGTTTTTGGTCAGAACATGAATCTCGGGTTTTCATGGATCAGAGGAGAATAAAACTGAACATCCATCCAGTTCATTATGGACCAGCAGAATTTTAACTTGAATTAATTACTTAATAATGACAATTGTCATTTTTAAATAAATAGTATGACAGTGTATTTAAGCAAGTAGAATGTTTTTTAATAAATAAAATAAAAACATATTCAAGTAAATATTTTCAAACATAAGTTATATTTTTAAAAAGAAAGACTATTTTAATTATGAAAATTGATAAATAGTTTCCTATCAATAAAATAAATGCATAAAACAATAAATTCTAAAATATTAATAATCTGCTATATTCAGCGTTTTGCCCCGTGGTTCATCAGCCTGGCGGGCCACCAGGCTTTACTTCTGTCCCCACTACGCTAAGCATTGTTTATTTATTCTAGCTTTTTACTGCCTGAGATTTTAAGACTTTATAGTTGATGTTAAGGTATTAATCTTCCAATAACACAAAATTATCAAGTGACATTTTAAAATTTAAACATTTTTTAACTAAAAAAACTGGCAGTCATCTACACTGAGCTTAGCAGGTTTTGTGGGGGAAACGGTACGTTAAAATATATTCCAATAAAATACTTTCCTCAATAAATATAAATACATTTCTGAACAAATTCATTACATTAACAGTTTATTCTTGGAAACTATAATTAATAATCTTAAACTGGAATGTGCTGAGCAACTGTACTCTTGATTTTTAAACAATTCAACATTATTATTATTATTATTATTATTATTATTATTATTGTTGTGCCTAACAGCTCTGAACTCGGTGAGACTCCTGACTGAGTTTGTTTTTGTCTCTTCAGGTTTTTGTTATGTTGAGTTTGATGATTTGGAATCGTTAAAAGAAGCTTTGACGTATGACGGCGCGGTAAGTATCTCCTCAAAACTGTTTTTTACTGTAATTATTCAGTAAAAAACAGACTGACTCCAGACTGAGGCTAACCTGACCCTTTGACCTCTGCAGTTGCTAGGCGACAGGTCACTGAGGGTGGACATCGCAGAAGGACGAAGGCAAGAACGAGGAGGGACTGGCTTCGGCTTCAGGAAAGACGACGGTAGAGGTATGAGCACCAAAACACCAGCAGATGGCGCCAGGTGTTTGGAGAACCAACAGCAGGAGAAAAAATCTGTTTAAGGTTTAAAGATCCCGGACGAGCCCCCAGTCAGATCACAAACAGACATGGGTTATGTAGAACAGGCGCAGAGGGAAAACATCCAGATGACTGATCAGATGAGATGTTAGCCGGTGGTTCAGCTAGTGAAAGGCCTGCCAGGTGGGTTTACCTGGTTAACATGTTTCTGCTGATTCCAGCTGTGCAGGACGTGTCGTACACACGGCGTCTACGCCGGGCCCGGTTCTGGTTCTGGTTCTGTTTTCTGCGTCGTCCTGGTGTTTTAATGAGGCTGCAGCTTTGATTCATGATCCAGGACTTTATTCTTCTTCCTCTTGTCCTGAAATGTTTGCTGAAGGTTGAAGAAAGAGAAGAACAATAAATCATGCAAATGGAAACTATTGAATTTGTTTTAATTTATCACGTGATCAGTTGATCAATTGATTTACTGATTATTGTGATGAGCCTGACTCCAGCTAACCATGCCGTTTATTAAGCTACAGATTTATTTTTAATCTATTATTTGGCTCTATAAACAGGGAGTTGGTACATAATGAAAAGCAGCTGATTGTAGTAACAGGGTTCGTCCTATAGGTGGCGCACCATGACAGGAATGTTTCAGACAGCTGAATTAGTGTTTCAGCCAGCTGGCCGGCAGTGTGGAGCAGCAACAGGGGCGCCTGGAGAACCTCAGACCCACAGGAAGAACTGGATCGGAACCGGATCAGAACTGAACTGTGGGAAACAGAAAGCAGAATATCAGACAATAATTAATAATTATAATTACTAATAATAAATAAAGTTATGAGAGTTTTATTTATTTAGATAAAATGATTTTAGGTTTTTTTGGTTCTGAAGCTCCTCTTCCTCCATCCTCTCATCCCTCCATCCTCCCTCTCTCGCCTCTTTTCCTCTGACCAATAACAGCTTCTGTTTCTGAGCTTCACTGCTACTGCTTCTAACGCCTCCTCTGATTGGCCGATGGGCCACTAACAAGCTCCGCCTCCTCACTAGCTGCTTCTAGAAGGAGGTGCCGACTCCTCCCCTCTCTTCTTTCTACTCCTCTTTCCCCCTAACCTCCTCTCCTCCTCTTCTCTCCTGTCGGTGTTAAACTCCCGTGTCATCTGCAGGACGAGGAGGTTCTCGAGGAGGCTCCCGAGGAGGAGGCGGAGGACGGGACTCGCGAGATGACTTCTACGACCAGCAAGGAGGAGGTGGGGTCAGATGATGCTGGCCAATCAGATGGCTGGGCTGCTGCCAATCAGACGGCAGCGGGGTAGTTTGAGTGGCGACTTTTTAACTGAAATCAGATCCAAGCAGCGTCAGAGCTGCTCTACTTGTCCAGCAGGTGGCAGTGAAGCTCGCGGAAGCCCCTCCCCTCGTATTGCTTCCCATCATCCCTTTCTGTCATCTCATGTTCACGGCGCCCCTGGTGGCGGTAAGCCGACTGACCGTCCGCTCGTCTTCGCAGGTTTCAGAGACGACGACTACATGGGGGGGCGGAGTCGAGGCAGCAGCAGTCGTCCCGGCGAACGGCCGCGGGGAGTCGGAGGAGGGATGGGTCGCTTCAGAGACGGGCCGCCGCGGGGCGGAACGACAGACTTCAGGGAACCGTCTGAAGGTGGCGCCATCTGCTGCTCACTGGGCTCTTTACAGATCAGAACAGAAAATTATTATTTGCTCACATTTAAACTTTTCTGAACAGATGATAGAATTTGAAAATGCTTCAATAACAGGAAAGTTTTCACACCCTGAATTATCGCCTTGGAAAAGGAGGGAGTCACCATAGCAACCAGCTATTCAGTATCTTCTTTCAAACATCAGTCAGATCCATACGAGTCTAAAATAGGAACAAAAACTCAAATAATTTCTGAACTTTGACCCCAGATCACATCACATCCCCTACTCTAACATCTAGTTAATCCCAGCTTTTGCATCAAGCTGAATTCAGCCTGAGTTTGAACGCTGACATTAACCTGTGTGTGTGTGTGTGTGTGTGTGTGTGTGTGTGTGTGTGCGCGCGCGCGTGTGTGTGTGTGTGTGTGTGTGTGTGTGCGCATGCGCAGAGGAGCGTGCACAACGGCCCCGCCTCCAGCTGAAACCCCGGACCGTCTCCGAACCGCTCAACCAGGTCGCCAACCCGAACTCCGCCATCTTCGGCGGAGCCAAGCCGCGAGAAGAGGTGATCTCAAAGGAGAAACCCTAAGAGACTGACGGGTTGGGAGGGGGGAGAGAGAGGGTTAGGGAAGAGGGGGGTGCAGGGGGCGGAGTCAAAGGATGACTGAACTCTGGGTTACAAACACAGAATGATTGAAGCGGCACAGTTAGCATTCCTTCAGACAGACGGCTGGACGGACGGCGAGGAGAAGCTCCTCCTCTTCCTCCTCTTCCTCTTCCTGTTGGAGCAGAATATTTATTCTTAGTGGGAATAAATGGGAAACACTGACACTCTGTTCAGTAACACACACACAGCGAGCAGCTCGCCAATGCATGTCCAATCTGGGTTTCACCTCCGCTTACTGTGATGTCACACCTGCATCCTCCCGTAGCCCCGCCCCCAGCAGGTCAAACCTGCACCACGCCCCGCCCCTTAGACCTCATTGGTCAAGGCATAGACAATTATCTCTTTGCCTCGCCCCTTTTTATGTTTCCATGGTGACTGATCTTCAATTTTTATTTATCTGCTTTTATTCCTGAAGGGGCGGGGCTTACGCTACAGGCCCCGCCCCTTCAGGTTGATCCCTGGTTTCACCTGCTCAGGTGGAGAGAAACGTTGCCTTCACTGTCCGCAGGATTTCCTGAAACGCCGACTCACAGGTTACATGGTGACCGCTGAGGGGTGTGGCTTGCTAAGCGGCCCGCTCTCATTGGTTGTGTCAGGCGGTGATGTCATCCACTCAGAGGAAGAGCTCTTCTCTGATTGGTCCGTTGATCCACACTGAAAACAGGAACCTTCCGGATTTTCTGTCTTCGTTAAAATATAACTGGGAAGTTTATTCCCTCCAATCAGCCAGGAACGGTTTTCCAATCAGTTTCATTTTAGACAGATTTCCTGGAAACTTTCCAGTTTATTTTCTCCCCACAGGGTGGCGCTCATGAAGGTTAGGTTTTTACAAACAGCTTTAATTAGTGGTTCTGGTTCTGAGTCGGTTCTGGTTTGTTTTTTGAAGTCCTGAGCTGCTGAAGCACCAACTCTGGACCAGAAGAACCGGCTCCTTCATTTCTATGCTGACTTCTTTGACAGCATTTTAAATAGAGAAACAAGGAGTACTTTTCTGACAAAACACTCAGAAATTTTAAAAATAATTTCAGAAATCTGGGGAAAAAACAAGAATATTTCTGATCTCCAAAAGTCAAAAATTTGCTAGAAAAACTAAGGAATTAATTTCTGAACTGCAAGCGTTCAAAAATTTTTAAAAACAGAAAATAAATCAAAAAGTATGAGAATAATCTCCAAATTTTTTAGAAAAAAACTTGAAATTTTCTGAGTTTCAAAAGTTAAAACAAAAGACTTTGTGACTTCTTTTCTAGGAAATTTTTGAGATTATTCTCAAAGTTTGAGTTTTTTGGTGGGAATGTACTCCTGTTTTCTGACTATAAGGTGCCGATGTAAGTGTCTGAGTAGCAGAGCGGATTTGTGAAGTTCTGGTGTTTAGATGAACGGATCGTGAATGAAGGAGGAAAGAAAGAGATTCTGAAATGTTCTGTTTAAATTCTCATCTGCTTTTTTCCCCTTCTTTCTTGCTGCGTCTCCTCTCCCCGACTCTGCTTCCACCTGTCTTTGAATGCAGCACTGACTCGTTTAAAGCCGCCGCCACAGACTCCCCCGACCAGACGGTGGCGCTAACACGCCTTGTTGCCAACCCAGAAGAAGAAATTAGAAGTTTTGTTTGTTTCAGTGTGGATCAGACGCAGACTTCCACCGGGATAAATGTTGTAAAGTCCAAACTCTTCCTGTCCAATAAAGCTGGATCTTTGGTTTGTAGCTCCAACTGTAGCGTGTGCTTCTTTTGGTTTGTTGGACCGGGTCGCCGGGCCACCGGGTCTGGGTGTCGTTGTGGATCTGGACCGGGTCTGGGTTCGCTTCCCGTCTGACAGAGCGGTTTTTCTTTAGCGGGACGGTGAAAGGACGACGTTTTACTTAATCTGCAACCTTTTTGTTCGTTTCTTGACCCAATCTGTTTATTGCAATAAAACTGTGTCATCATCATCCAACACCGACCCGGGTGAGTTTGATTTCATGAGGAGGAGGGCGGGTTGCTGCCGGATCCGTTTGGACGGATAGAAGAACCGGCCGGAGTTTCCTACCAACGACCTGGGTAGTAACGGCTTCTATTTACTCTAGTTACTTTTGAAAAGAGTACTTTTACTTTTACCCGAGTAATTTTATTATGAAGTATTTCTAGAGTAAAATTTCTGGATTTTCTCCTCACTGAATGAAAAACTAACAGGTTTTAATAAAACTCACCAGGCAGACAAACCTGCAGTTTGTTTAAGTTTATAAAGTTTTTTTATTGAAAGAAACTGATTTGGAAAAACTTTTTAAATATTTTTGCTACACGAATTATTGTAATTTTCATCCTTAAAGTAACAAAATGTCAATGTAACTTTATATTTTGGTCCGTCTGATTATCTAATTTTTAAATATTGATTGGCAATTTGATCCCAATCTGTAGAGAAAAGCAGCAGTTAGAAAGTTTTATTGACCAGAAGTTCTTTGGCGCTTGGATGATCGGCGCCGGGGAACCTCAGGGGGTCTTCCCCCGGGTCCGGACACTGGAAGATGCCCGGCAGGATGAGGGCGAAGCGCGGCTGAACCAGGAGGTTGTTTGGCCTTTTTAAGCAGCCCTGCGTGCTGATTGGCTGGAGCGGAGCGACAATCTGGTGCTGATTGGCGGAGGCGTGTTGCTTAATGATGCCGGTAGGCTGGAGAGAGTCTCAGCTTGAATTTACGCCTGTAGGCTTCATCAGTTGGTACATAAGTAGATTTTTCATAACGAGTAAAAAGTCAAATACTTCTTACTCGTTATTTCTTGTTACTTTTTTTTTTTTTACTTGAGTAAAAACATTTGAAGTATTTCTACTCTACCAGTTTTTTTGTTCTCTGCTGCCTCTGCTCCTAAAACCTGGACCACTGTAACCTTGTGAAGGTCTTCAAGGTCAAACCAGCATCAAAGTCGACCCCATTTCTATTTTTTATTAATATAACTGAAACATTTGAATAGGCGGTGGGCTCACTTTCACTGACAGCTGAGCTACTTTTTGATCATTTCAAAAACATTTAGCAAAGTTAGCTTCCCCTAAATAAATGTTCAGATCTAATTTTATTTGTTGAGTAAAAATTTAGTTGAATAAAGTTTGATATCTGTGCTGGAAGTTTTATCGACTGTAGTCAAGCATTCACATATATGCTTTTATTTTGAAGTAGTTTAAGCAGCAGTTCAATTTCCTCTCATTTTTTTCAAAACTTAATTGAAAAAAATATAATCAGTTCAAAGGTTATTTGTTTAGCCAAACTCAATAAGTATACAACTGAAACCATGAAATCTGTTTCAAAGAATCACTTCCTGAAGCGCAAACATTCAGAAACAGCTGCAGTAACAGATTAGGCCCTGCTGAGGGCGATGCAACGCGATTCAACATTGTTGAATGTAGCGCATTAGCAGTACTGATGTTTATGATCAGTGTTTTAAGGTTAGCGTAGCTAGCCTTTTAGTTAGCGGTTCTCACCGCTGATTATAATAAAATGAAAACCTTGGTTGCTGCTTCCTGTTAGCTGAAATCCTCCACTTCCTGTAAATTCTCGGTCGTTCCTGGAAGTCTCTCCAAAGTGTCTCAAGACCAAGATGGCTTCTCCAGGACCTTCAGTCTTTACTGGGCAAAAGTTTTAGAACAGTTCAGATTTTTCAAGGTTTTTATATAAAGTGGTGCAGCTTAATGTCTCATTGCTCTGAAACAGAAGTAATTGTAGTTAGAAAAGAAATTGTAAAATCATCGAAGTAGCTGCCTTTGGCAGATATAAAAGCTAAACACATTCATGGTTTTGTCTTCAGAAGGTTGTTCCAGAAGTTCCCATCAATGTGTGGCACCTGAACGTTGCTTTGGTTTCTTTCTCCTGTCCAGTTTACGTCTTATCCTTTCTCCTAATAAGTGATAAATGTTGTAAAGTCTAAACTCATTTCAAGGCTCTTGAAAAAAACCTTGAAACTCATTTCAAGGTTTTTATATAAAAACCTTGAAATGAGTTTCAAGGCAACTCCAAGTTTCACCTCCAAGTTTTGGCATAACTTGGATGTGAGTTTTGGGTCAATACTTGGTTTAGGATGAACCCTGACCAAGGCCGTGGCAGCCATTTTGGTTCAGGACGCCTCCCACTCTGAAAAGGTTCCAGAAACCGACTCCGGTCTCCGGTCTCTGTGCTCGCAGGCGACATCAATACTTTTGAGGAGTGATTATCAGATGCTGGCCAGTTTGATGACAGTTGGGCGCCTCGCCGATCCGCGGTCACGCTGCTCGTCTTCCTGTTCGACTCTCAGTCTTTTCTCATCCAAAACATTTGATGTTTGGTGCTTTTCACCAAGCATCTCACCGTTTGACACCAGGCAGAACGTAAAAGTTGATCTTTGGTCGGATGTGACCGGCAGACATCAGCGGAGTGAAAAACAACGAATGTTAGAGCTGCATTGTTACCCTCAAACCCTCAGAGGATGAACCCGATGGACGCCAGGCCTGGTTTCATCTCTTCATTCTAAGAATGATCAGATCCGTTCCAACCAGCTCGACTTCCTGATACCAGGACCGGTTCGTCTTCAGGGTCGGATTATTTACGCTCAGAGTAAAGATGAAAACCTGCAGCTCCTGTTTGGATGACGCACAAATTCCTGCATGACTCAGTCTGCTCCCCTGAACAACGTGCCCAAGGCTCCATGTAACCTTTGACTGGGCTGTCGACATTCATTGAGTTTTGACCTTTTTGCAACTTTATTCTTGAAGGTTTGGTGACGATCCACATCGGTTCTGATCCAGGACGGATCAGTAAATTCAGTTTCACTTTAGGATCCGATTCTAATGGGGAAAATAAATATTCAACACACTTTCTCAACTTTCCCTTCTTATAAACCAGTTACATTTACTTAACTGTTTTAAAATAAAAATGTACTTTTAGGAGTATTTTTTACCACTTTTTACTTTTACTTGAATAATTTTATTATGAAGTATTTCTACTCTTGAGTAAAATTTCTGGATTTTCTTCTCGTGTTTTAACCAAAATTCACCACTCAGACACACCTGCAGTTTCTGCTAAAGTTTAATAATTTCTTTTATTGAAATAAACTGATTTAGAAAAAAAATCTGCTTAATTTAGTTAATTCTATTAATTATTGTCATTTTGATCCTTAAAATATCAAAATTCCCACTTAACTTTATATTTCAGTCTGTCTGATGATGTCATTTTTAATACTAAATTATTGATCATTTAGTTTCTCAGTACTTCAGTAAACTTTTTACCAAATACTTTTTTAGTCTTGAGTAATTTCTCGGACGGCTACTTTTTACTTTTACTTGAGTAAAAACATGATGAAGTATTTCTACTCTTAGTTTAGTATAATTTTTGGATACTCTGCCTCCTCTGCAGTTCACCCAGCTCACCTGCTGGTGGCGCTGTTGAAGGCAGCCCGTCCAGGGCAGCTGAGGCTACCATGTAGCTCACCGCCACCAGCGGGGGAATGGCCGACTTCATAAAACGATAAACGGATACAGGCCATTTACTGTTTTCATGTAATCCAGAAAATCACAATGTTTGATTTGAAACTAATTATTATTTGGATGGAATAAGGCTGCGTTCCAGTTACTGTGGCAGGAGGAAGTCAGGGCTGGAGCCCACAGACTTTACCCAGTTTGGACTTGCAGTAAACGTGGCTGTGAAGAAACAAAGTGAAGAAACCTGAACAACTTTAGGTGAGTCCAAAGTTGTTGAGAGATTTATTGTTTTTGTTCTGGTTAATCCTAAATTAATTTCCCTTTGGGTCACAGAGCGTCCCGTTCAGCGCGGCACCAGATCTGACGTCACTGCAGCTGACTGTGGTGAGTTTCTCTGGAAACGTCAGAAAACACGAGAGTTAAAGGTAAACCAAAACCTTAAGAAGAACAGAAACCAGGTGATGGGATAATATGTGCACTCAAGCGAAAAATCGTGTTTGACATGAAGACAGATGAGGAGGAGGAACAGATGTGTTTTTGAGCAAACACAAAAAACAAGGAAGGAAAACATCTTAAAATCTCCTTTTCATTGTGACAGAATAAACACAGTGGTGTAATGGAGGGACGCAAACCTTTTACCTCCAGTCGACCTGCCTCCGCATTCCGGGTGTACCACACGGCGCACCGCGCGCCGCCGCGGTTCCTGCAGCACCAAAATGATCTCTGGGATGAACTTTGTTAACCCGGCACCAAGCGGACGGGCCAAACGGATCCTGACCCGCCCTGCTCACTGTGGCGTTCCGCAGGGCTCCGTTTTCAGCCCACTGACTTCCAACGATATTCCTGTCGTTTTGCTGATGATGTCCAGGCGTTTTTCCCTCTTCTTCCAAATTAAATTTAAAAACTGCACATTTTGTCTGGATTCAATTATTGAAGGAAAAACAACGATAGAGATGAAGCAGATTCTCGGCTCTCTTGGTTATGTTAGTGAAATCTTTGGCTAAAAACCTTCAGCTCTGGAAAATCCTGCCTCCTCTCTGGTTCGTTCCTGTTTCCAAACTCAGCCTATTGTCTGTTTTTTCCAGAAACGTAAATCTGACTCCAGGTTTTAGTTTCTTCTCGTCCAGATTACTGCGTCGCTCTGAGCATCTCACCAAAACCTCCCACAAGGTTCCAGTCAGTCCAACATTTAATGTTAATAATCTATGAATTTGTTGCTGTTATCTCACCTTGGTTTGGTAAAAATAATTACAGCATAATGACAAACGTCTCCATTCCCACTTTTTGTTGTCAAAGAATAATGTAAAATATTAGTCTGTCTCCATTCAAACCTGGTTTTCTCTGTTGAATTAGAGTTTAACACCAGAGTCGGCTATTAATTCATTACATTTACCTGAATAATGTTTTTTAAATGTACTTTTAAGAAGTATTTTTACTTTTACTTGAGTAATTTTGCTATGAAGTATTTCTTGTCTTACTTCAGAAAAATCTCTGGATTTTCTTCTCACTGAATGAAAAAAAACCTGAAAATCCACCAAACTCACACCTGTCTGTTTTTTATTGAATGAATTTGGAAACATTTTATTTTGAGAAATTTAATTTTTTTTTGTTAGTTACAGAAATTATCATTTTGTTTTCTAAAATGCCAAAGTTTCAACTTAATTTTATACTTTGGCCTGATGCTGTAATTCATAAACACTAAATTATTGACAATTTGACCAGTTACTCAGTAAACATTTTACCAAATACTTTACTTGAGTCTAATAATATTTGGATACTTTTTCCTCCTCTGGTTTTCACTCAATCACTTCCTGTTTAAATCCTTATTTCATTTCTAAATTGATCCTCTCACTGCAGTGAACATCCTTTAAAACATTTCTCATTGGATGAAACGTCCCAGACTTTGACCAAACATCCGTTAAAAACAGGAGATTTAATTTCCTGCGTTAACATTTTTAACTAGATGTCGTCTTCCAACAGACAATGAAACGATGAGTCTGTCAATGAAAGCTATAAATAAATATTTAATCTCCATGTGATTCCAAATAAAAGCCTTTTCTCTGAGGTGAACAATGCTTTGGTTCTGGAGAATGAGGATGTAAAGTGTTTTTGAGCGGCGCGTGAGACGCCCTCCTCTGATGGAGATATAAACGATCAGCCGTGGCGTCGGATCAGCTCTGCCTCAACGCTGCGCTGCGACATCCAAAGGTTTGAAGATGCTAAACATTACTTGGCTTTTTAAATTACATTCCTTGGTATTTAGTTTAGTTTGGTTAGATCTGTTTAATTTTCCTGTAACACTTTATTTCATCACACTGCAAAAACACAATCTGATCAAGTTTTTCTGGTCTGGTTTCTGCTGCAATAAGTAACTTATCAACCAGATATAGGAGCTTTTACAAAGTAAATAACTGATATTGATGAAAAAGTTCTGCTTCCATTAGCAGATAAGTTTAGTTATAACATGACAAAAATGTATTTATCTGCCAAAAGAACCAGAACTTTTTCATCAATGATCAATAATTGACTCAAAACAAGTTTCTGTCTTGCTGATCAGTTATGGTTAAGTTATTTTTGTCTTAATTAAAGCGTAGTCAGATATTTGCAGTAGAAACCAGAGCAGAAAACTTGATCAGATTTTGTGTTTTTGCATCAGAAGCATGAAGTTTTTGTGACTGTTTGGTAAATGATGACATTTTAAAAGTTGCATTAAAAGTGTCACTATTCACCAAATGACAACATTTAGTCACACCTTCACACACAGTTCTGATCATTTTCCTTAAAGTTAATTTTCTTTGGTGATTAACTGACAATTTGATTTAAGTTTTCATCAGAGACTCAGTCAGTTTGGGAACATTAATTCATCATTTGGTTTCTAGCAGCTGTTTGTTTCCTTTAAATGTTTAAGAAGTTTAGAAAATGAAAATAGTTCCCCTGAAGCTATAACAATGTTTTAATATTCAGCAGATTTTTTTCAGAACCTTTTCTGAATAATCCAGATTTTAAAGACACAGAACCTGTCATGATTCGTGGTTGTGAGTGGTGAGGGAGACGCCAGTGAAACCAGGTAGTCATGATGAAAATAAAGATTTAATGAAGAACAAGGAGAACAATTCATAATCCAAAATCACTGGCAGCACAGGGGATAGAAACAGACGTTAGACGAGGACCCGACAAGAGACAAAGACAACAGGTGGGTTAAATACAAGGGAGGTAAACAAGGGAACGAGACACACCTGGGAACAATCAACGTGGAAACGCAGAGACAGAGACTCAGGGAAACAGGATAACAAATAAACAGAAAACTACCGATCCTGACAGAACCATTTATTTCCAGTGTTTGTAGCTTTAGTATGATTAAATGTGATTTTTAACGTATTAAACACAAATACTGGGTTTGTAAGGAGACAATATCCTGCAGATATTTAAAAATAATCAATATTGAAAATATAATTTTTTATTAACTGATTGGTGGTTCTTAAAACTGCAGTTTGTAATTTTTAGAAAGAATATTCTGTTTTGCATGAAGCTGCCTCCATGTCCTGTTTGCTGCAGCAGCTGGAACAGATAAACTTTGACGTTTGTGGCCCTTGCAGCTCCACCATGGCAGTCGGAGCCTCTCTACGCCTCCTGGCAGCGTTGCTTCTCACCCTCCCAGGTTTTGCTCAGAGCTTCATGCCGAACTCCTTCTTCTTCTGGACGCTGAGTCATCGTGACATCACTCAGATCGCGATTCTGAGGAAAACAGCCGAGGTTTGCCGGGACGTTGCTGCTGCAGAGGGCAGAAGCTTCACTTTGGAGGTGACTGACCTGGAAGTGGTCTTCTGCTGCTCAAACATCCTCAACATGATCTGGGTTTCACTTTTGCCCCCAGATAACCGACACACTGACGGTTAACAAAGTCCAAATGGCCTGCTCTGTCCCGCTGCCCAACTTCCCCATCTCCAGCGAAATGTTCCAAGCTGCAATCAACAGCGTTCACGACAGCAGCGACGCCCTGCTGACACCAGACCCGGCCTTCCACTTCCACAGCGAGGCCTTCCTCACCGGCAGGGGTCTCATCACTCAAGGTAGAACTGCAGCACACAGTTAGAGAAATGTGAATCATCAAATTAACAGAGATAAGGGTTGGAAATATTTCAGTGAAAGTCATCCGTATTATCAAAGGTGTGAAAGAAGCAACGATAAACGCTCATAGTGAGGCAGACAGAACTTCTTCACTGAAGCTTAATCCAGTTCATGACACCAAATGGCTTCAGTGATGTTGCATCTGTTCTACGTCTTTCCTTTAGTTTTTCATGACTGTTTTGTCGATCCTTCAGGATTGTCGGCTCTAAAAGCTTCTGTGAAGGAGCAAAACTTTCAGTCAGCCAGAAACACTCTTGGAAGAATCTGTCACACCCTCCAGGTGAGGCTTGGGAACGACAGAATCCTCTTTCTTTGAAACCAAGATACTTTTAACAAATATTGTTAATATTTTTATTTGTTTTTCCATCTTTAGGACTTTTACAGCCACAGTAACTGGGTGGAGTTGGGAAGAGCCGCCCCTTACAGCGCTTTGATCAGGCCAGATCAGCCTCTGGAGAACCTGGCAGGTAAAACGCTGCAGGGAATCTAAAGCAACAGACCTGGAGGTTTAACAACTCTTCTATTAAAATGAAGAACATGATAAGTAACCAGCATTCTGAATGCATCAGGTCCTGATGTTCCAACCTGTAGGAGCTGTGCTGGACTGAGCTGCAAAGACAACATACTGCCCGCAGTCCTGGAGAAGGGACTTCTCACCTCAGGCTACTACAGCGCCGAATCTCCAGCAAAACCTGCAGGTAGAAACTTTAATTCCTCTGGAAAAATCAAACAGTTTCTTCCGTTTAGTGTCCAGAGGGGTGACTGAACCAACCCTGAACATTTCCAAATATTATGACTGTAAGGGGCATAACTGAGATGCGGAGTGAAAGAAACACACACACACACACACACACGTGTTTTCATGAAATATAAGGACACATGACAGAAATAGGACAAATGGGTACACACCCTTTTAAAGCTTCCAGAGGCCTGAGAATCAAATGTTTTTCCATCCACACTTCCAGGAAAACATTCATCTACTGAGATTTTAGCTAGCTATTTTTGGCATCTGGTTCTTATGCAACTTATCAATCAATCAAATTTTATTTGTATAGCATATTTCAGCAGCAAGGCATTTCAAGGTGCTTTACATAATTAAAAAACAAAATAAAAACAGCATGTGACATTGAATAAACAGTAAGAAAGAGAAGGAGATTTTGAAAAAAAAAAAGATAAAAACATACTTTTGTTACGGAATTTAAGCGCCTGTCGTCGCCGGACTCCGCCGTCCGTTTAACACGGGTATTATCCAGGTATTATCCAGGACCCGTCGCCTAACAGGACAAGGACTCCAACCTTGCAGCACCAGGCTCCGTCCACCTACCACGTGAATTTTTGGGAGCTTATTGGTATATTGTCTGTTTTATGTGACTTATGAGGACATGACTCCACCAATCCTGGAACATTTCCAAATATTATGACTGTAAGGGCCATAATTGAGATGTGGAGTGGCAGAAACACAACCAGACGCACACCCACATATTTGTCCCGTTGTCCGAATTGACCCCATTTCCTGCTGGTGGTGATCATTTGACTGATGGTCACCTCGTTTCATCAGATTCTCCGTAAGTCTTACTGATCTGAATTTATGTGTATTTTTTAAAGGTAAGTGCAGCCACGGTGGTATCTATGACCAGACGAGCAGAACCGAGCCAACCGGCGGTATCAACAAGGACACGGACTCGTCTTCTCACGGGCAGCTGCACCGAACAGCGGCGGACCTGGCCGTGGACGCCACAGTGGACTTGTTGGAGGACATTAGACTTGCTATCGGAGACAGAACATTCCTGAGGTAGGAAACGCAGTGAAGCCTGCTGCGTCCCAGCGTCCACTTGTGAAACCTGATTGGTCCCTGTGTCCCCACAGACTGATGGACATCTCACAAGCACCTGCGCTGGTTTTTGTGGTGGATACCACGGGTAGTATGGGTGATGACATAGCTTATGTCAAAACAGTCACTGCTATGATCATAGATGAAAGAAGAGGAACACCGATTGAGCCCTTCGAATACATTTTGGTCCCTTTCAATGATCCAGGTATCCAACCAACAGAGGAAAAATTACCGTTTTAATTTATTCCCAAGTTTGGATCCAAGTCTCCCCTCTATTTCTGAAAATAATGTGGATAGCTGCAATCAACAGTCAGATGATTAGATAGTTCACACACCTGCTATAAACTTGTTGCATCTCTGATAGAGCTGTTTACATTGTTACATGACTGAATCATCTACTGGTAATAAGAGCAACAAAAAATAGTATGCACTGGACTAAATATGGAATACATCCAAACCTATTCATGACACCCTTTATTAAATCAATTTATCTTAGGTGTAATTCAAATAGCTAGAAATTAAATTAAATTTTTAGGTATTGGTGAGTGAACCGGTACTGGGCTGATTCTGAGCCTTCAAAACATTTCAATTGAAATGTTTTGAAGGCTCAGAATCAACCCAGTACCGGTTAACTTATATGTTGTTGTGAAAATAATGTTTGTTTCAGCCACATAAATTAACAAACTCCAGTCCTGGAGGGCCGGTGTCCTGCAACTTTTAGATGTGCCTCTGCTGCACCACACCTGAATAGAATAATTAGGTCATTAGCAAGGCGCAGTAGCCATGTAGCTTGATGTAAAAACATTTCACCAGATCAAACGTTGAGAAGTTTTAGTTACTGTTATCAAATGTTATGAAGCCAAAAACACTCAGAAACACTTAGGGCCAACCAAAAGAATCAACTTATTTAAAGTTAAAACTCAGTTTCACACAAACACAAAGACGCTAGCATAAATGTTTGGCTGATGAACTGGACCGTTTAAGGTTGATATCAAGCTAATGTTCTGTTAGCAGCTCCACAAGTCTTTTTGATAAACATTACATTACCAAGAGACATGAAAGCAAACCTTTACCTTGGCTTTTGCTGTTCTCCCTCATTCTTTTCTCTGTCCTTTTTTGGGACATTGTTTTGCAAATTTATCTTCTATCAGTGATTTGGAGGTTTGGACGCGATCGGTACATTGCACGGCAGTTCAGATCACCGGCCACTAGGGGGACCACAAGAGCAATTTATTTTTTCTTTTGGCCCGCATAAAGAATGATTTCTACCTGATTAAATATATATTTAATCAGGTGCACCTGATTAAATATATATTTAAGAGGCAGAGGCACATATTGTTTAAAAAAAAAAAATCACAATTTTATAATTAAATTGTGTGTTTCTGTTAATATAATCACAGAAATTATTACTTAAAAAAATATTTTTAAAAAATCAGCCCCATTTTGGGAAGTTCACAGTTCTACCTCCTCTGCAGAATTTGGTCCAGTGACGAGGACAACTGATGCAGATGAAATGAATACCAAGATAAACAGCCTGACTCCTCGTGGAGGTGGAGACCTCCCGGAGATGAGCATGTCTGGACTCAGAGTGAGTCGACACGGGATTTTAACAGCCTCTAACTGATTTTGAAAAATTTGTATTTTTTATTTTTTGGTACTTGTATGAATTATTGACATTTTGGTCTTTAAAATACCAAAATTTTCATTTATACTTTGTTCCATCCGATAATTTTGTATATTTTAAATAATAATAATAAATAATTGTGTAGGGCTGCACAGTGGCGCTGTTGGTAGAGCTGTTGCCGTGCAGCAAGAAGGTTCTGGGTTCAATTCCTGGCCCCGGTCTTTCTGCATGGAGTTTACTTGTTCTCCCTGTGCATGGTGGGTTTTCTCCAGGTACTCTGGTTTCCTCCCACAGTCCAAAAACATGACTGTCAGGTTAATTGGCCTCTCCAAAATTGCTCCTAGGTGTGAGTGTGTGTGTCTTTGTGTTGCCCTGTGACAGACTGGCGACCTGTCCAGGGTGACCCCACCTCTCTCCCAGAACGTTAGCTGGAGAGGCAGCAGCTCCTCCTGACCCACTAAGGGACGAGGGTGTAAAGAAGATGGATGGAATAATTGTGTAATGTTTAAATATTAATGATAATTGAATCAGTTAGTACTTGAGTAACTGATCCAATTAAGAAAAGTGATTTTTCTCACTTTTCTTATTTTTACTTGAGTAACAATATGTTGAATTTGTGCTACTGGAGGGTAACATTTCGGTCTCTACCTGTCCTGTAAATAATGATTCTTGTCTTTCTCTGACAGCTTGCCCTCACAGCAGCTCCTCCTTCTTCCCTTATTTTTTTGTTCACTGATGCTACCGCCAAAGACGCGTCTCTGAAAAATGCTGTGACCGCTCTGATAGAGACCACGAAGTCTAAGGTACAATACAGATGAATGCAGACTTTAAGATTCAATGGCAGACAACAGATGAGGCCTAATGGCCAGTACGAACTTTAATTGCATTATTTTCCAGTTTTCCAGTTCCTACAACTCTTAAACAAGTTTGATGTTTCATTTAAGATAATTAAACAACAACAATAATGTTATTTGTATTGTAATACTTATGTGGATTTGTTGTTTAAGTTTTATTGAAATGTAAACCAAATTGGCATAATTATCAAAACTACTTAATACAGAAAAAGTATGGAGATATTTTTTTGTCCATCACCCAGCTCTACCTGCTGTTGCTAACCGTTACGTAGCAACAGCAGCTAATACCTGGCAGTGAGGCTTTAATGTCTGAGTGGAGGAGCTTTGACCCACTCTGGTTTGCAGAACTGATTTAATTCAAACACATTTTTTAGCATGTTTGACATCATTCCACATAATCTTAATCAGAGTTTAAACTTTGACTAGGACCCTAATCAACATCAGTTGAGGTGTGAATGCTAAGCTAACTCTGGTCCTCCAAACCTCGGTCTGGGTTCTGTTGAAGTAAACTCTGGTTTGATTTGAATGCCAAGCGGACCAGAGACCGCTCCAAAAGCAGGAAGTGGACTACAGCAGAGGGCATTCTGGGTAAAAACAAACAAAACAAATGTGCTAGCCTAGCGCCAGCGGGAGAAATGTCTCCTGGTCTTTAGCCAAAGACTAGAGAGAAATCCTTCAACCGCTAAAATCTGACGCCTCCATCTTGCTTCCATCTGGTGAAGAAGGAAGTTGCTCTCAGTGTCTTCAGAGGTTTTTGTGTCGTTTCCTTCAGTGGTTCTTGGTGCAGCGCCCCCACAGGCCAGGAGGGGAACAGGTTGGTTTGACTCAGAGCAGAAAGATTGGACTATCAGGAGGGAAACATCCAAAATTTTTCCCATCGGATGTAGTGAGACACTCACTTTCCAGAAAGGTCCATTTTGTCCCAAAAGTGTTGAGGATCATCAGGATGCATGTTTGTCAGTTTCAGATCAGGTTGTTTGGGGTCAGCAGTGGCAGTGACCCCTGCAGACATTGAGATGTTGTTCCAGGAAAGTCTTAGAAATTGTTCTATAATCCACACTGATAGACCTCAGTTTGAGATCAGGAAGTGATTTCTTTCTTTCTTTCTGCTTCGCTTTGTTGAAAATGCACACATACGGCTGGTGTTTATTAATCCTCCTCTTCTTCCAGGTCTTTCCCATCCTGACCAATGTTCTTGCCAGACGTCGCAGAAGAGCTGTAGTTCCTTCCAACCAGCTGTATCTGGATCTGGCCCAGGCGTCTGGAGGTCTGGCCATTGAAATCTTCAAGTCCGAGATTTCTGTGGCAACTGCTATTATAGAGTCTTTATCAGTCGGAGCTGTGGTGAGACTCTGAGTCCAAACCTTGAATATGGAGAAACGAACAAGTCTCCATGTCGTTTGCCGCTCTGTTTTTCATCGGCGCAGCAGGTTTCCTTCCCGTTCTCTTCCAGGTCACCGTTCTCCAGGCGGCGGTGGATCCCGGCACGCCGAGAAATTTTACCTTCCTCGTTGATACGACTCTGAGCTACATCCTGATTTACATCACCGGAGACTCATCTCTCACCTTCACTCTAACAAGCTCAACAGGTTCAGTTCAATAGTCAGTTTTTGACCTAATATGGCTCCATCTGCTGGTGGCCTGTTGTAATAACACAAAGTCTTACCAAGTGTTTTATCTTTATTTAAAGGGATGTGCATCTCTGGCAGAGCTGGGTAGTAACTGGTTACATTTACTTGGAAAAAATGTACTTTTAGGAGTATTTAAGATTTTTACTGCACTGTGCTTTTTACTTTTTCTTTCTATTCTGAAGTATTTCTTCTCATACTTCAGTGAAATTTCTGGATTTTCTTCCCACTGAATGTTTAAAATGTTTAAAACAAACATGTTTCAACCAAAAATCTACCAGACAGACACACACCTACAGTTTCAATAAAGTTTTTATTGAAAGAAACTGATTCAGAAAAATGTTTTTGCTTTATTTAGTCATTTTGTAATTATATTTATACGAGTCCCTTTGGTCTTTAAAACACCAAAAACTTTACTTTATATTCTGGTACTGATGGTGTAATTTTTAAATATTAGATGATTGTAATATTAGGTCAGTTACTCAGTACTTGCGTAAACATTTTACCAAATACTTTTAACTTTCATGAAGATTCCTTCATGTTCAGGTGTCATCAGTCTTCAGGTCTTCTAACAAGATGTTACCAAAATATCTTAGCACACTTGAAATAAAACAGAACTAAATTACAACTAACTTTTTTAGGCAGTACTGGCTTATTCACTTCTTTTATTTATATAAGCAGCTACATTTATTAACATTTATTGTAACTTCCAGGAGTTTCTCAGAGCTCCAGTGAGTCCAGAGGCTCCCTGGGATTAATTTCTACAGCAGGAAACCTGTGGGTGTTGAGCCTGAACTCTGAGATCCAGGCAGGGCAGTGGGCGATCACGATCGACTCCAACACCGCCTACACAGTCAAGGTCACAGGTGAAGAAATTAAGGTCTGCTCAGAGGCCTTAAATCTTTATTTTGTTTTCCAAATCTGAGATTTTTTTTCTTTTTGTGTGAATGCATTAGGTCGAAGTTCCTTGAACTTTGTCTACAACCTCGTTGAACCACAAGAGGGCACCAATGGCAGCGTCATTCCCAAGGCAGGACGTCCCGGTCAGAACCCAAAATATCAGACATTAACGCTCCTGAAGCGACTCAGTCTCTGATCTCAGTGGCATCCAAATGAAACTCAGGATTAAAAAGTCATCACCTCTGTTAGCTAAGCCTCCATTCTCGATACCCACTTCATCTACTCAGAACGATCACCTGCATGATTATCTTTAAAGTTTGTTGGAATGGTCTTATCCTAAACCAGTGGTGTCAAAGGTGTGGCCTGAGGGTCATTTGTGGTCCTTGGACTGTTTTTTGGGCCCCTGACTGCAGTTTAAGATTTACTTTTTATTATTTCCAACATAATTTTCTTACAGTGGAAAATGTTGCGGACAACACAAAGTATTTGTCTCTTTACAACCAACTTTTAGAATAAGTAGAATCACGTCTATCCAGGGTTTTTTGCTGAAAAGCCAACATGGCTGCACTTAAATGAGCTTTTACTTAATTGATTAAATTTGGCTAAATATAGAAAACATTTTGAAAGAAAGTGACCCAATTTTTGATTTTATAATTTGTTCAAACAAACTTGAAAAATAATTTGAAAACTAGATGCTGTCATGTTGTGTGTTTAACTGGACCCAGATAAGCTGAGGCAGCAAGTCGATCCGAAGATTTAATTAATGCAGCAAACATGCAAAACCCTTCCAATCTTCAGATCTACAGTGAATAACATCTTTCTCCTACAAAACAACAACAAAAAAAACAATCAAATGACTTTATTTGGTGTATTTCAGTTTGGACACCTCTGTAAACTCTCTGAGTGACTCGGTCTCTTCTCTCATCGTTAGGCGGTAACGTCACTCTGTGGGTCACCGTCACAGGAAGTGACACAGCTACAGTCAGAGACGTCACTCTGTTCGACTTCTCCAGATCGACACAAGTCGATGGATCAGTCCAGGTATGCAACGTTCTCTTTGTAGATCAATTCACTTCTTCAAGAGATTAACTCCAGATTATGACCAAACTCTTTCAGGCTGCAGTAAAATCACAGAAATTAAATATCAATTCAGCAGGAAATAGTCTTAATCTGGAATGCCTCAAGTAGTCCGATTTCTGAGATTAACTGAGATTATGAGATTAACTTAAGATTTTTGTTTCTTTTCAGTGGCTCTAATTCTCTAATGTATAAGACACACAAAGCATAGTAAAAATACTTTACTGTATGTAAATAATACAGTTTTTAATGCATAATTTGGTGGAAACACTGAATAGATTGGGAGCTGAATGACAAACCAAGCTTTTGTGTTTTGTTTTTTGGACAGTCGATAGGAAAGAGCGACTATCTGGTGGCGTTCAGAGAAGTCCCGGCTGGGAGCTTCCTGGTTTGGCTGACAGGACAGGAGACGAACTCTTCCTCCACACCAAACAGCTTCCAGAGACAGGCTTCCACACAGATCAGAACCTCCAGTCTCTCTGTTACCGTCAGTACCTTTATGTTCACTCCGGTCTGAAAGGTGTGTCCACCACTGTGAAATATACAAGAAGGGACAAACACCATGGTTATCTGAAGGATGCACTTCCTGTAGGGCGGTTTTCTCAAACTGTGGTTCCCAGACCACTGGTGGTCTGTGAGCGTCCCTTAGTGGTCTACGGGATACTACATGTAAACAACTGTTAATTTGTCGTGATTTAAGCTCAAAGTGCAACGCTACAGTTAGCTTACCAAATTACTGTGTTTAAAAATAGTAATGGATAAATGGCTTAAGACTGGGTCACAAAAAAACAGAAGATTTCAGTGGAAAGTTTCTCTGGGTGAGTTGCAGAGGTTTTTGAACACTATTACGATACATAGTATGTCCTATGTATGTAGATCTAGGTCTGAATGCGATGTGATGGTGACGAGGCGGTGAACAGCGCTGCACCCCACGCTGACTAACTGCATTTTAAAATCTAAAATAAAATTATTTATGTTGGGAAACATAAATAATTTTGCTACCTGCGACGGATGACCCATCGCAGGTAGCAATGGGTCACCCCGCCTCTCGGCCGTTGAGATCTGGAGAGGCACCAGCACTCCTGGCAACCCCAATGAGATAAGGGTGTAAGAAAAAGGATGGATGGATGGATGTTAGGCTACCTACTGTCTGAAAGAAAATGTCTTTTTTTGCCAACTCTACTCAAGTCTATTTTTCTTTTATTATGCTTCTAAATTACAAATAACCCTAAAATGTTTTTAGTGCACACAACACTTAGTTTTTTTTTTACTTCCATGTGTTTTCTATCATTGGAAACCTTAGAATCCAAAACTTGTCATGGTTTTATTATGGCCAATCACATTTATGAAACAGCACCACCCTTCACACAAAGACAGTGAGTGACTTATACATTTCAGGTTGTATTAGGATGTTGTGTTATTGCGGGGACAATTTCAAGTTAGGTGGTCCATGAGTGTTAGTTAAATGGGGTAAGTGGTCTTTGGTCTGAAAGCTTTAGATATATAGCACTAGAAAAAAAGGTTTGGTTTAGTTACTTTTTTTTAGTACATTTCCTAAAAGACAAAACAAAATAACACATATGTGCACATATATAGTTTTACTCTGGAGTTTCATAAAATGGACAATATAGAGCTGACTTCAGATGTGATCTGATTAAGTTGATTACTATGTTGAATCAGTGTTTGACTTTAGACTTGAATTGAATTGAATTGAATTGAAATCAGTCCTTTTATTGGTCGAATTGATTACTGTGGTTACCCCAACAAAAGATGATTCAAGTTACCATTTTTAAGCAGAATTACTCCAACAATTTAAAACCAAACATTTGTATTCCTTTCCTTTATGCCAGGCTCAAGCTGACAGCCAGAGCATCGAACCTGGCTCCAGCATCTCCGTATCTTTCACCGTATCCTCAGAGGAAACTGGGACATTCACCATACAAGCCAATAACGACCGCGGCTTTACCACTGCATGTCCTTCTTCGGTGAGGATCGGTGCAGGTGATGGTGGTCGAGCCAATGACACGGTGACCTTAATAGCTCCAGCTGACGCTGCTTCAGGAACAGATGTTTCCCTCACTATTGTTGCTGAGAACGCTGCTGGGACAGACATCAACTACGTTGTGCTCAGGTTTTCAGTAGCTACCAAGGTGAGACATGACACAGCTGGGAATGTTCAGAAATCACAACTTGTGTTGAACACAACAACAAATTTGGAGGGTTATCGGTTTTAGAAATTATTTTTCCTTAACCTCGTTTAACCCTTCTCTGTCCAGGTAACTGACCTGTCTGCTCCAGTGTGCCAGGTAGTCAGAATGTCAGGTGTTTGTCCGGCCTCTCATCTCCTCTGTGCATCTGTCCAGTGGGAACTTGTTGCTAATTTCACAGATGGAATCACTGGGACTGGAATTGAAACCATTTCTCTCCACCAAGGGAATGGTACATTGAGTACCAGCAATGTGGTTGGAGTAGCGGGAGAGAATATAGTAGAAGTTTCTTACAGCTCCACCTGCTGTTCACGGAGTGTACAGCTAGCTGCTGTAGACAGAGTGGGAAATGTGGGCACATGTGCAGAAACCTCTATAGCCCTAACTACACCTGCCCCAAGTAGCACATCTTCGCGTGTGACTAACGTCAGTCACATAACCACAATCATTCCTGTGCTCAACTCCACTTCTGCTTCTACACCAACACTTATCACCAACAACACAGCAGGAGTCCCATTAATGCTCAAGATCAGCAATACTCCTGTAACGACAACAATACTAATGTCCAACACCACTCCTGTAACTACACCAATGCTCACGACCAACACCACTCCTATAACTACACCAATTCTTGTGACCAACACCACTTCTGTAACTACACCAATTCTTGTGACCAACACCACTCCTGTAACTACACCAATTCTTGTGACCAACACCACTCCTGTAACTACACCAATGCTCACGACCAACACCACTCCTGTAACTACACCAATTCTTGTGACCAACACCACTCCTGTAACTACACCAATGCTCACGACCAACACCACTCCTGTAACTACACCAATGCTCACGACCAACACCACTCCTGTAACTACACCAATGCTCACGACCAACACCACACTTCATAATTCGACTCCTGCCCAAACTATGAACAGCTCTGTCGTCACTACAGTTTTTGAAACTGCAGGTGTAACTAACTCAACATCCACTGGAGGGGAACCTGTATGCTTGTCCTATTTTCTGTCCATTGCAGCTATGTTTTGTTCAATCCAAGTATTATTCTTTAATTAGGCAAATTGAAATCTATGTAATTGACTTGAATGTGTCCCTATAATGGGATTAAATTGACTAAATATTTGTATTGAATCAGCTGTATATTAATTTAGAGAATTGAATTGATTTCTGTTTGGGAGTAAATCATTTGAGCAGATTTTAATTGTAGTTTACGAAGCACTGTTAAAATTGCATTTAATTTGTATTATTTTAGCTTCTGTTTAATATGTCTGCCTTTTTTGTTTGAGAGGTGGAGGGGGAATTCATTCAAGAACTGTTAAAGTGATACTGTCAACTAAATAAACAAATATACTTACAATTGAGAGTTGTCTTATTGAATCTTATTGTAGCCAGTGCCACTACTTGCAGTGCCCTGCATTAATAAATGCATTATGACCAAAAATCTCCCAACTCTTCTACTTTTAGGATGGGATAAAGCGTAACATTTTTACAAGTAACTGGTAACCATGATGGACTGGCCTCTTGTAATGGGCTTTGCCGTGACCTTTGACACCGTATGGCATGGTTTTATATTAGTTTGAACAACATGTGTAATTTTATTTTAGGTTTTATTGACTGCCTTTTCTGTTTTATGCATTTTATCTTTCTACATTTTTATGGGTTGCACTTTGGTCCAGCATCATAATTTTAAGGACTATATGACTGAATCTTGATTGGATCATATTGGAGTTTTATTTTTGCATGACTGGAAAATAAATATATATATA